CATTGCTAAGTGAATGAAACCAACTTGATTAGAATTCAATCTCATTACACAGATTCCAATTTCAGTGCCAATAAGCATCTCAATATCTGCACAGTTCTGAATATATTGAATATACCGCTTCCTTCATGATATCAGATAACGTTCAAATATTTAGTTTCTTATCTTTTGAATTGCTTTTTGAATATATGTTGTGTCTTTGAGCCATGACAAAGAATGTCTGAATAGCAAAGCTGAAAGCCACATTACAAATATCTTCAATTCCGTTTTATGACTTAAAAATAAATCTTTAAAAATAAAATAGAAAGAGATAAAAAAAAAAAAAATTGATAATTTTTGGGTGTGTGTTTTCAAACAGGCTAACTTGCATAAAAATAAACATTTAATGTTATAGATATTTGAATGCTTTTTGGAAGTATACTTTATATAGGCCAAAGCAAACACTTATAATTTAGCATTGGATATTATGTTCAGGTTTCTGTTTCAAATGACCTTCATGTCTGAAGTATTTTTGTCACTTTAGAAGGAATTTACAATAATGTTGGTGATAATATCACTATACTAATATATACTATTTTATTTTTAGATGTTAATGTTTAAATTACTGTCCATAATTATAACTTAACTGTATTACAGTAGCAACAACTAAACTGAATGGCAGATGTAACTCTGAAAACATTAACACTACTTCAAACAAAAGGTTAAGAATGTAGCCCCCATCCATAGTGGAAAGAGCAATGACAGTGAACTTGAGAAACCTATTTTCTTGAAAAATTGTTTCAATGGAAAGATTTTAAGAACTACAACCAAAAGTAATACTGATTTCCTGATCAATGAATGCTAAATGTTTCATTGTAAGTAAACTGTTAATATAACCATTAAAGCATTGAAAGACATTTGATAATTTACTTTAATAGGAATGTTCCTTACTGGTGGCAGCATAAATTTATTGAATATAAGAGTAAATATGGTTCCAGAAGTGTCAGCATAGATCATTGGAAATCATTTACTTGAAGCAGGACTATGGATATGTGTGCCTCTAGCCAGGCTTCCATCTATGCCACATTATTGTGCATATATCCAGTGGTGCTTTAAGGTCATTTGAGAAATAAAATGATGCTCACTAGTATTAATTGATAAGACCAGGTCCTTTTTGTACCCGGAGAAAATACTTTTCAATGTATTTGCCCACAAAATGGATTTAACTTTCATTCATCTTTAGTGTTTGTGGAAGAAACATTCAAGAACCTTTTCAATCTGTCCTGTAACCATTCATGTCACAGGAAGGCAATATGCTTTTTCAGCAGGATAATGTCTGCCCACATGATGCTCACACTATTCAAATGCTCTGTGATAGATGAACATATGATATATAATGGGATGATGCTTAACTCATTCAGTTAGCGCATTCATAACTCTTGCTATATTGCATCAACAAGTGCAAGAGGTACAGAATGATATATATGCATGCAAAAGTTCAGAACTGTGTATAGGTCTAAGGATTATAAACAGTGTATTAATAAGGGTTCTGATTAATGTTAATACACTTTTTTGAACCTGTGCACGTATTTATCTGTATATATAATCATTTACTGTAACCCAGTGCTACATTACCTGTATAGTTAATCTTGATTAACTTGAAACATGTTCAATGTGTTGCAATTTTATTTTCCATCAAAGTATATATGCATTAACAAAAATATTTGAAGTTATGTTAATTTTAAAAACAAAATGATTTTTATGTTTGTCATGCATTATCTTAAAGGTTTCAAATGTATATGCCTTTAGTTTTATTTATTTTGGAAGTATTTATCTCATTTATTATGCTTTCTTGATCACTGGCCTCTATCAAAGTTGACAATGGGTGTAACATCTTATTATTGTGTGCACAGTAATTAGGGAAGAGTGGTTTTTGTCAAGTGCACACTCTTTTCCAAAAATTATGGCATACCAGAGACAAGATGTTTTTGTCAAGATGTCCAGCAAAGAAACAAATGTAGAGTCATATTTTTTCTCAAAGTTATTAGTGTTCAATAAACTCTGCTGAAATTCAGACTTATTTTGTTGGTTCCATTTTCTGTGCTGATAATTGCTATCTAATTTAACACTGTAGTTAATATTTGATCTTATTATTTAAAATTAATTATTTTAAATATCCTTGCACTATGATAAAACTATTTAGAAGCATATTAAATTTTTTTTTCTTAGTTGGGTGTGTATAATACAGAAAAATAACAAATTTAGAATGAAATTATTTAGTATTAAATGTTTAAATTTCTTTGCAAAAAAAGTATGTTTTTGAAGATAATTGTTGAGTTTGATAAAAATAATTTTAATCTTATTCTCATGAGTACAATCAGGAAAATAATTTTTAACAATTTCTGAGATCAAAACTAAGCTAAATTGCAGAAATTTTTGCTGTATATTATCCTAAATTGGAAATGTAAATAAAAATGTATTTATAATTTCTGTAGATATCATTAGTAGACAAATATGCTTAATGCAAAAATATCAAATGACTATTTTGTTTTTTTTAGTTTCTTCTCTCATTTTAGAAAAGCAAATTATATCAGCTTGATAAACTTTTGATGTCTATGACAGAATTGATGTAGCTTATCTTGGAATATTTCAGATATGAGAAAGTGAAAAAAAAATTCTTTGCCTAAGTAAGAAGGAATTTAAAAAATAAAACCTGTTTACTCATTTGGTTATTTTGGAAACTGGTTCCTATATGAAGTTAAGCAGTATCAAGCCTTGATGGGTGACTGCTTGGGAATAACAGGTGCTGTAAGCTTAGATGTGGGGGTGGTGTAATGGATAATGACTCAGAACTGTAAATTAGAGAGCCATGTTGCAATTCTAGTTGGGTTCATTATAATTCACTTATGTGCAAATACTCTTGCAAAAGGTATGAATCCACCTCTTCTTCCTCAAGCTATGGGTTAATTAGTAAGATTTATATTAAATCATTATTCCCTCCCCCACCCCCAAAAATCTTACAATCTAAAGATATTTTCTGGCTTTAAATAACCTGTGAAGGTTGATAAGCTGTAGAAAACAAATCAATCAATGTTCCTAACCTTTTAAGATTGTGTGGAACATCAATATTTTCATTGTTATTATTTTATCTTTGAGTTACATCTATTCATTTTAGTTGTTGCTGCTGTTGAATGTCTTCAAGTGATGTAGTTTTTGTTATTTAGTAAAGTTCTTTGTTTGTGATTCTGCTGCACAAGTCTGAGATCCAATAAAGGACAGCCTTCTTCAAGATCCACTGGGTTTATTTGCTTGAATCCATTTTTAATCTTTGGTCTGAGGAAACAGTTAGATAATTTACTAATTTCTGAATGAGTTAGATAGCTTCTGAAAATTTCTAAAATAAACATTATTTCTGCTATAAAACAAGAGAAACAGCATTCTTGTTATTGTGTGTGTTGTTATTGTTTTGAGTTGGGTTTGCAAGTTTGCTCCTTCTTCCTGAATCTTGTCTGTTGATCTTCTGCTCCATTAGAAATGAAGATTCACTTGAAGTATCATCAATGTATTTTAGATCATCAATGCTCTCATAGACTGGGAAGTGGGTGGTTGATGATTGTGTCTCAATGGAACATTGACTGCCAGATTTTTGATTCTTCAGGATGCCCTTTGAAATTTTCTTGGATGCCACCTGTGAAGCAAGTCTGTTAAATTGTGTCCTGATAGGCATTGTGTTATTGCTTGTCACTGGATTCTTTGATGTCATCAAAGATGTCACATCTGCATACTTTGTTTCTGTATCTTGTGCTGTGGTCACTTCGCAAGTTGTGGTGACCGAATACATTGTCAATGTGGGTGGGTTGCTTTTGTATATTGATTCATAGGTCTTGTTTCCTGGAGTGGACATGCTTGTAGTAGCTGTTGTGGAATAACTTAGAGTTGAAGAAGTGAGATTTGGTTGGCTTTTACGCTGGAGCAATGGGCTTGTGAAAGAAGTCATAGAAGAATTGCTTCCAAAATGAGTTGCTGAGGACTGTAAACTGGACACTGGACTAACTGCTGATGTCCGAGGCTTTTGGACAGTAGCGTAGTAAGGCTCCACTTGGGAGGTGTATTTTGAGGAATAAATAGATGTATTAGTTTGGTAGATGCAGCTTGGAGTTGAATAAAGAGATGATAATGGGGGTTTTGTCTCATAAGATGAAGGCATCATAGTTATGGTTTTTCCAGAACTGCGTCGAGCCAGAGGTGATGTTCTGTACTGTGGTGTACTGCATGTGATTGGCGGCAACTCACTCAAGAGCTTTGTTTCACTTTCCAAGGAATTTGTATTGAACTGTGTTTCAGCAATCTGAGGAATTGGCATAAAAGTTGATCTGCTTCTGCGGAAGGTGCTTGATTCCTGCTGTGTTAGATCAGGCATATCTTCAAGCAGTGTTTCTGAACTTTTATTCCCCTCTTCGTCTTCAGCCTCCTCATCCTGACTTTCATTCTGACTGAAGTCAAAGTGTAGAGTTTGACATTTCACTTTAGTTTTTGGTGGTTTAATCCTACAGGCAACTAATTCCAAATCCGTGTCGACAGTCTTATCAGAATTAGCAATTACTGTTTTGCGCTCTACATGCCTAGTTCCCAGACGAGGGAAACTGAAGTTCTTTGTTGATAGAAGAGGACGGTTCCATAACAGTCGCCTGTGATCTTGGTATCTGTCAGTGCTCCTTGAAAGGCCAAAAAGTGGTAGACAAGATGATCGCTTTGGGGATTCTAATCTTAGGTCGTCTGTGCAACAGGGCATGGCACATGAGTGTCCACTGGCATCATGAGGGGTCTGGTGAATTTGTGAGTAATATGTCTGCTCTGAGTTGTCATTTCGTTTATGCCACTGAAAAGAGAAAAAAAAACGAATTCATTGAAAATTTTCTTTTTAGGAAAAGGATCAATTTCTTAATTAACTGAAATGAAATGTCTGCTTACACAGATTTAAATAAGATTAAAATTTGAACAAATATTAAATTTATATATATTTACAGTCATGTCTCAGTGAGAACTCAGTTCTCATTCTGATCACTGATGTTAAGCATCATTGAACCTGGTCAGTACCTAGATAGGTGAATGATTGGGAGTACCAGGTGCTGTAAGCTTGGATGTGTAAGTAGTATAATGGATAATGGCTTAGGATGAGAAATCTGGGAAAGCTGACTTCAAATCCCAATTGTGTATATTACATTTACTTATCCACAAATAGCTTTGGGAAAGATATGAATCTATATATTCTCCCTCCAGCTATGGGCAAATAGCAGGGCCCTATATCCTTGAGTGGAAATCCCTAAATTCGAAGCAGCTACAAGAGATTTGGCAAAGGACAGAAGAGCTTGTTATAGGATCAAATGGCCAACATGCAGCTAGAAGCTATAATTAAAAAACAAAAAATAGCCAGACATATGATGCACCAGTACAGTACATGATGCTATGATGGAGAGTGTGCATTGCAAGACATAAGCAATTGACTAGTTTAAACAATTCATTTGTACAGGTTGCTCAGTAAAAAATTAGAATTTACCAAACACTCATCTGATGTTCTTGACAGGAGAATCCATTCACATATATTTTATGAATGTATGTATGTCTTGCCAGCCACCACCAAGGCATAGTGATAGAAATTGAGAAAGGATGAATATAGAATTGAAATGAAATACTTGGAAATGAAGAATAGCCATTGATGTATATACATAACATCTCATTGTCTAAAGAATAAACAATGGTTTAGTTGGTTTCAATAAATGAATGATTAGTTAGGTTACAGTTATGCCTTCTTTTATATATAACTGTTTTATTTTTAGCCAATCATTTTACTGTTTTTATCCTTGATATATGTGACTATGACATTATTGTGCTTTTCTCCTTTAGGTCAGAATGTATATGCTTAATCTCCAGCCCTTCTAAAGTGAAATTAGTTACCAAAGCCAGTGTACTAATGATAAGGGGAGTGGGTTATGCTGATGACATAAGTATTCATAGTTGGGATAAGAATGATTCTGACCAGGAAAAAAAAAAGTATTTACGAAGCATTCCAAAAAATAGGACTCAAGATAAGCTCCGAAATAAAAACTATGATCTGGAATTGGAATGAAAGCAGTGATGGCACATAACCTGAATCCATCATAAAAATTCAGCATGTAAAATTAGTAAATACTAAACACTTCATATATCTTAATGTATGGATCAGGTATAAAAAATTTAGTATAGAAGAAAAAGAAATTGAAAATAGAATAGGCTGCAACAGAGGCAGTTTCTTCCAACAACACAACTTGCTAAAAAACTTGAGTCATGTTCTTAAAGAGTCTCATGAAATTGAAACTTTCAGATGGATGTCATGCATGACACCAAATCCATTCAGAAATATCTGTCAGCTGTATACAACCACTTTCTGAGATCTATGGTTAAAAAGAGGCTTTGAGCAAGTGAAGCCTGAGAGTCTTGGCAAAGATCATTCTTCTTTGAATATTGTGAACAAAGAAAGAACTACACCAAATAACAGAAACCACATCACTTGAGGACTACCAACAGCAGCAACAATTAAAATGAATAGCACATCTAACTTGAAGAGAAAATAATGAAAAAATGAAGATGTTGACCTTCTACACTACTTCAAGTAAAAGGTTATGAAGGAAACCCCATTAATACTAAAAATGGCAATAACAGCTACTGTACTTGAAAAACCTATTTTCCTGAAAAATTGTTTTATGAGAAAGATTTTATAAATTTCAACCGAAAGCGGTACTGGCTGCTTGATCAATGAATGCCAAATATTTCCTTGGAGGAAAATGGCTAATATTACTATTACCATTTGACCAAGATACTTACATAATAATAAGCAGGAAGGAATTGGTGGGAAAAATGAGAAAGTAGAGAAAGTGAAAGGGGTAAAGTAGAGAAAAACAATGAAAATCAGGTGGAAAACACACACGTGCACACACTGAATGAGAGTAAGCAATGAAGATAAAAGACAAGTATGATGACTTGATATCAAGAGACAGTGAATTAAAAACTTAAATGCAGGTAGGGATGGAAAAGTGTAAAAATTGTGATGTATTGAAATTATTTTATATACAAATAAAATAGGAGATCTGGTAGAAAATACTTGACAGTTCTTTATTTCTTTTTCATATATGAAATTCATGTTAGTTTAATATTTAGATATTTTTGCAATGATTAGTTGAAAATTATCAGTCAGCTCTTTGATGTTTTTGAGTCAAATTCTACATGTTTTGATGTGAAAGTGTTTGACAAAATCTTGAATCTGGTCTTTATTAGAGAAATTTTATCCCATCAAAGCATTTTGTAGTGATTGAAAAATGTAATAATTGGTTGATGCAAAATGAGGTAAATATGGCAGGTGGGACAGAAAAGAGCCAGTTCCAAAGTTTTTTCCTGTCTTTTTCTTGCTGTATGAGGTTTTGCATTGTCATGGAAGAGACACTTGCAAAATCTAAGAATTATTTGTGTGCTTCAAATTTATTCTTAACTGTCACATATGATTAATAGTAAGGATGATACATTACAATTGATTCCCAAAAGTGAAAATTACCTATTACTGAATTAATTCTTTTTTTTTCATTTTCATTGAATTTTTATTGCAACACTGAACACAAACATATTTTTTTTGATGACCTATAAGTTAATAAATGTCATCAAGAGGTTAACTTTTATGGCCTCCTGTTGATTATTGCTTGTACTTTGATATTCTTGTAGTCTTGATTTTCTGGTAGCCAGGGAAAAAAAATCATAAAAAAATGGTCATTTTGGTTATTAAATTTTTGGCTCAAGGCTACTCTGTATGGTTCAACAAAAAGAATCTCAGTTTAGTTAACCTGACAAAGTAAAATTTCAGTTTGGCATTATACATACAATTGTAAATTGAACCCTGTCAATAAAAACTTGAAATGTTTTAGACTTTTCAAAAACTAATATGCTAAAATGCACCTGGTTTCCATTAGTAATCACAAAGCTGTCTGGTGGTTAAAGCTTTAGCTGTCCTTGAATTATGTGATGCCAGACTGCTGAACAAAAAGACATTAAGTAAATTAGAGTAAGCTAACTTAAGAACTAAGGTATGATTCAATCTTACCCAAGGTGATAACTATCTATTTTCTTTCTCTCTCTGTCTTTCTTTTTTCTTTCTGTCTTTCTTTTTTCTTTCTGTCTCTCTTTTTTCTTTCTGTCTCTCTTTTTTCTTTCTGTCTCTCTTTTTTCTTTCTGTCTCTCTTTTTTCTTTCTGTCTCTCTTTTTTCTTTCTGTCTCTCTTTTTTCTTTCTGTCTCTCTTTTTTCTTTCTGTCTCTCTTTTTTCTTTCTTTCTTTGTCTCTCTTTTTTCTTTCTTTCTTTGTCTCTCTTTTTTCTTTCTTTCTTTGTCTCTCTTTTTTCTTTCTTTCTTTGTCTCTCTTTTTTCTTTCTTTCTTTGTCTCTCTTTTTTCTTTCTCTCTCTATCCGTCTCTCTTTTTTCTTTCTCTCTCTATCCGTCTCTCTTTTTTCTTTCTCTCTCTCTCCGTCTCTCTTTTTTCTTTCTCTCTCTCTCTCCGTCTCTCTTTTTTCTTTCTCTCTCTCTCTCCGTCTCTCTTTTTTCTTTCTCTCTCTCTCTCTCCGTCTCTCTTTTTTCTTTCTCTCTCTCTCTCTCTCTCTCTTTTTTTCTTTCTCTCTCTCTCTCGTCTCTCTTTTTTTTCTCTCTCTCTCTCTCTGTCTCTCTTTTTCTTTCTCTCTCTCTCCGTCTCTCTTTTTCTTTCTCTCTCTCTCTCGTCTCTCTTTTTTCTCTCTCTCTCTCTCTCTCTCTCTCCGTCTCCTTTTTTTTTCTTTCTCTCTCTCTCTCTCTCTCTCTTTTCTCTTTTTCTTTCTCTCTCTCCCGTCTCTCTTTTTTTCTTTCTCTCTCTCTTCGTCTCTCTTTTTTTCTTTCTCTCTCTCTCCGTCTCTCTTTTTCTTTCTCTCTCTCCGTCTCTCTTTTTTCTTTCTCTCTCTCTCCGTCTCTCTTTTTCTTTCTCTCTCTCTCCATCTCTCTTTTCTTTCTCTCTCTCTCCGTCTCTCTTTTTTCTTTCTCTCTCTCTCCGTCTCTCTTTTTTCTTTCTCTCTCTCTCCGTCTCTCTTTTTTCTTTCTCTCTCTCTCCGTCTCTCTTTTCTTTCTCTCTCTCTCTCTCCGTCTCTCTTTTTTCTTTCTCTCTCTCTCTCCGTCTCTCTTTTTTCTTTCTCTCTCTCTCCGTCTCTTTTTTTTTCTCTCTCTCTCCGTCTCTCTTTTTTCTCTCTCTCTCTCTCCGTCTCTCTTTTTCTTTCTCTCTCTCTCTCTCTCTTTTTTCTCTCTCTCTCTCTCTCTCTCTCCGTCTCTCTTTTTCTTTCTCTCTTTTTTCTTTCTCTCTCTCTCTCCGTCTCTCTTTTTTTCTTTCTCTCTCTCTCTCTCTCTCTCTCTCTTTTTCTTTCTCTCTCTCCGTCTCTCTTTTTTTTCTCTCTCTCTTCACTCTCTCTCTTTCTTTCTCTCTTCTCTCTCTCTCCGTCTCTCTTTTCTCTCTCTCTCTCTCTTTTCTCTCTCTCTCTCTTCTCTCTCTCTCTCTTTTCTCTCTCTCTCTTTTCTCTTTTTTCTCTTTCTCTCTCTCTGTCTCTCTTTTTTCTCTTTCTCTCTCTCTGTCTCTCTTTTTTCTCTTTCTCTCTCTCTCTCTCTCTCTGATTTTAAACTGTCAAAATATTGGTGGTCTCTGCAATTTAAAGATCCATGGTGGTGTTCTTCATTTTGATATCAAAGCAAAAGGATTTTCTATGATTCTGTAAAACCAGAGGCAAAATTTCCAATAGAAGCACAAAAGTTTAATTGCTATTGTTTTCAACCTGGAAAACATTAACTTTCATTTCAATTTTACACTGCTGTACATTTCATAAGAAATGTAGGTTGTGTAATAGCTATTAAAGTAGACATTGGAATTGTCAAGCCAAGTCAAATTCTGTTTAAATCTCTTCACTCTTGTGTTCTTGGAAAAGGCATAAATCCACTTATTCCTACCTCTGCAGTTAAATAGCAGGGTAGACTGAGCTCCATACTTTTGGCTAGCAGCCAGTTGAAAAGGACAGCTCAGAATTCAAATCTCTGAGAAGGCAGCAGGAAAC